GTGTTTTAAAGAGAGGCATTATTGTAACGTGCGTCCAAAAAAGACCTAGAAAGAAGGAAGAATGATGTCACAGGAATGTCAGCATTCAGTAAATACAGTAAACACGAGTGGGGAACAGGTAGTTGGAAATTTGAGGGTAGAGAGTACCAAAGACACTTATAAAATGAAAAAATGCTGCAAATATTTACAGAAATTTAAAAATAACTTACACAAAAGAGTGACAAAAATAGATACTTTTTTTTTCTTTTTAAGAGAGAAGTTTGCTATAGGGCACATGCACTCACCAGAGAGAGAGATAGACAGAAAGTGAGAAATCACCCTCCAGGGGGGATGGCCACACCGCAGTCCCTTCTCCCCTGTTCTCCTCTCAGGATTTCGGGCATGCACACGCATGCGCCCGGCCTGGGTTTTAAACCACTGGGTCTGGGACTCAAACTGTGGTTGACTATAAGAGTCCAATGACATAACCATTACGCCATCTGCTGGTCCCAAAAATAGATACTTCTTGTCTGTTCACTATAGCTAATGAGCATTCAGTCATTAAAGAAAACCATCACATCTCTATGAGCACTGAAAACATAAATGTATTAATATATTTTCTAATATACTCATTTTGCATTAATATTCATGAATCCTCATTAACAAAAAAGTATGAAGTAGTAAAAAATTTTTATTTGAATGATTTTCCACAAAGCTTTGTCACTCACATACATTTTATCTTCTTGTGCTATAAATAGAACACCATATTATATTATTCTTTTACAGACAAAATTTATTTGAGAGTTTAAGAGTGCTACTTTTGCAATAGTTTTGCATTTTTTTTTTAAGAGATTTTTGCTATAGTGTACGTGTGCTCACTGGAGAGACAGAGGCAGAAAGCAAGAAGTCACCCACTGGAGGGCATGGCCATGCCGCAATCCTTTCTCCACTCTCCTCTTGGGATCTTGGGCACACATGCACACACACCTGTTATGAGTTTTTTCATTTTTTTGTTTTTAAAGAATTATTTTCTTGGGACCAGCAGATAGCATAATGGCTATGTCGCTGGATTCCCATGTAGTCGACCGCGGTTCGCGTCCCAGACCCGGTGGCTTAAAACTCACGCCGGGCGCGTGTGCATGCGTGCCCAAGAGCCCGAGAGAATTGATCCTGAGAGGAGAATGGAAGAGAAGGGATGGAGAAGGGACTGTGGCGTGGCCATACCCCCGGGGGGGGGGGGATTTCTCGCCTTCTGTCTCTCTGTCTCTGTCTGTCTGTCTGGCGAGTGCACACGCCCTATCACGAAAACCTCTCCAAAAAAAAAAAGAATTATTTTATTTAACTTTATTTATTTTAATTTGACCACAGAGGGACAGAGAGAGAGAGAGAGAGAAGGAAAGTGAGGCAGCCAAGCTGCCAGGTCTGGGACCCGAGCCATGGTCAGTTGGTCATGTAGGAGTCCAGCACCCCCCAACTACCACTACCCAACCCCTCTCTTCCCTCCCCCACCTCCCCATGTGAGTTTTAAGCCAGCAGGTCTGGGACTCAAACTGCAGATGACCATGTGGGTTGTCCAGCGATGCAACCATTATGCCATCTGCTGGTCCCATACTTTTGCAATAGCTTTACAGTACTAACTTCTTTTGGTATTTCGGCATGAGGCATTATATAGTTTGCATTGAACATGTTGAATAAGTATAATTTACTGAACGTGGTTCAGTGATATACACAGAGAGGAATTTTTGCAAAAAAATTTTATAGTGCTAAAAATGAATTGCATTACATTGCTAAATCCTTTGAAATAATGACAGTTTTGGAAATAAAAGTTAAAATCAAGATGACTTTTAAAAATATAAATATAAATTTCACTCTAGAGTAATTTTAAAGTGGAATTAAATCATAATATTTCGCTTTAAATATATATCAGTATAATATTATGAATATTGGCATATTATAATTAAAATAAATAAAACAAAGTCTTTGAAACAGAGTTTTGGAGACTTTTCATGTAATACGTAAGTATACTTTGGTTTTTGTTTAAAATAAATTAATGCAAAAAATGGATAAAATAGAAATCAAATTGAATATTATAGGACACTAGCACTTACCTTTGTAGCACAGATTTTCTCTACAACCTCCTCCAAAACTTGGCGGGCATGCAGAACATGGCCGTCCATGTTTGTAAGGGGCATGGCCCCACCAGTTTCCCCTTAAAGAGATCATTCATTTTATTAGGTGGTCACCTAACAACATAACTAGGATGTTGTGAAATATCATTATATAAGTACCTATTAAGTGATGATTTTGGTGTGGAGATGTAAGACATTTATATATTTTACCACTGTACATAGTTATTTGGGTTATTAGGTTTAAATAGAGATTACTGCCTTAATCTCTTGAAAATTCTCAATGTAATTTGTTGCATCTATTGTTAAGAACAGCAAAATCAAACCTGTACAGAAAGCCAGAATTTGCTATGAGATACTTATTTCCATTTGTTTTAATAAGAACAGATCTTAGACTTAAATTTGACCCTTAGTATGGCTGTGTACTGTTTTCAGTGTAATTATTCAAATGGTTGTCACAAAGATGCAAATACACTTTTTGCTTAATCTATAGCTGCTAATTTCTAATAAATCAAAATTATAAAGTATTTATAGTATTATTCAATGAATAAACTGATGACATAAAATATATGATTCCTGTCTTTACACAGATTACATTTTCCAATTTTACGCTCTCTTTAAGCATGAATACTTTGCAATAGACAACTATAACTGTTGCCAGGGCAAATAAACTGAATTAAAACAACACACTCATCTCAACGATACACATGAAAATGAGAGAAAAAAAAAAAAAAACAGGACTATCAAGTAACTTCCATGTTGTTACTAACAATTTGCGTTCGCGTACTCACTTCGGGGAATAATTGCACACCAAGTAGACAGCTTTAGGCCATATCTGCCCCCAGATGTTCATGTTATGGCACAGATTGATGGCGCAACCTATTCTGCTACTGGTTGCCCACACCACCTACATTAGAGGAAAGAAAGGCTCAGAAACAGCAGGCTCCAATGAAGTAAGACCACGACATAGCTGAGAACAAAGTGCGAGAACTGAACTCGATAAACCAACATGTATCACTCAAAATAAAAGGAGGCAATATCAGCAGAGTATTCTTCCTGAGACTCTGAGACTTTGGGTAGTGTCAAATTCAACTGAAAACAGAAATCTACAGGCAAATAATTATATCTGGCTACAGAATGTCAGAATTTCAAATGGAATTTTATCAAATTATCCATATGCTACATCCTCAATCTGAATGTTGTATGTTGCTATGAAAAAGTTTGTTTTATAATAGAATTTCACATACTAAACAGAAAGTACTGGAGCAAAAGGTGAAGAACTCAGATTTCTGGGGCCAGCAGATGGTGTAAATAGTTATTTTGCTGGACTCTTATGTAGCTGACCATAGTTCAAGTACTAGAACTCCTTAGGCTCATATGTGTGCATGCCCAAAATCCTGAGAGGACAATGGAGGAAAAGGTATTGTGGCGTGGCCATACACCATGAGGGAATATTTCTCGCTTTCTGTCTCTCTGGCAAGTGCATGTGCCCTATAGTAAAAATATCTCTTAAAAAATTAAATTATTCAGATTTCCTATATTGTAATGATCTTTGCATTGTGCCTCAGGTTATGAATTGTTGCTGATCTTTTTTGTTTTAATTTTACTTCTTACTACTATTTTTTTAACTTGCTATAGGACATGTATGTGCAATCACCAGAGAGTGAGAGAGACAAAAAGGGAAAATGAGAAAGCAAACCACCAGGTCTGGGACTAAAACTACAGTCACTCAGGTGGGAGTCCAACACCTTAACCACCACACCACCTGCTGGCCCCTGTTAATGATCTTAAATCTTGTCATATGAAAAGGCAGAAAAAGATGATTATTTGGGAGCCAGCATGTGGTATGATGGTTAAAGTTGCTGGATTTCCACATGGACTACTGCAGTTTGAATTCCATTCTTGGTGGTTTGAAAATCATGCCAGGCACATGTATGTGTGTCCTCAAAATCCCAAGGAGAGAATGGAGAAGAGACTGTGGCATAGCCATCCCCCTGCAGGAGTATTTATCACTTTCCCATTCTCTTTCTGTCTCACTCCTCTCTGTGACTTTATGCACCCTTTGGCAAAAATCTTAAAAAGAAAAAAAAAAAGAATGATTTGTTGACTTTATATTACTGAGAATAAGTCATGAATATTCTAGAAACTCAGATCAGTGCTGAGCTTTATCTCGTTGAGTCTGCTTTTAGTTGTTTTAGACAAACACAAGCTATTCCAAATGTGAACTCTAAATAGATTTTTTAAAAATATCAAATGTCACTGGCAAATGAAACTGTATTTTCCATCATTGAAATAAAACTTTGACATTGAACATAGTAAATTTCTCCCCATAGGCATTTATGACGACCACATTAAAAAATGTTCTGTACGTAAAATCATTACAATAAACTCTTTCAAGTAATGTTTAGACATTTATGTGGTAATTACTTCTTTGTTTACAGAAATTTGCAGGCCTCTTCCACATCATCAACCACTATGTACATTGTTTTTTGTAGTAACCATAGCGAACTATGTAAGACACAAATTCACTAGCCTAAGTCCTCTGAAAGTACACTCACTCAATTTGCAGGAATAGAGTATAATACACCAAAACCTACCTGTGTATAATGAGTACAGACAGGACCAGAGCATCTGAATGGACAATACGGATTGCATTCATGTTCATATGGGTAGCTAAAATCTCTCACTTCATCATACCACGCTTGCACATGAAACGTTGGGGGCCTATATCTATTAGAAAGAAAATAATTACAAAGAACAAGTGAAGAAGATGTAAGACTAACTAGTACAAAACAGATAAATTAGTTTTGGCAGAAAGATATTTTTGCATGTCATGAATTGTGAATTCTTATGCCCAGTGCATTACTAATGTAGCAGTGATTTAAAACACAAATAAATCTATAACACTGCTGATGGTTCTGGTATAATATCTGGTTTTTGTTATTCTTGTGATTCCTTATTTATCTTTTAGGCACCGATTCTTTGACAATTTACAACAATAAATAATAAGCATTTCATTTCAAACACTTGTTTGCAAACATAAAATTGTACTTGAAGATACCTTCCCCAATGAGCTCCCAAATTCTGTCCAATTGATGGAAGCAAGCTAGCAGGTCCATGTTCCCACAAACAAGTTTCAGCCCAGGATTCTGCAGATCTTTCCAGCTCTACATCCCATGTCTACAGATTAAAACAAAAATGAGACATGCATCTGTCGGGTTTGGACAATTCTTCAGAATAGTGCACTCAGTTCTTATGTTTTCTTTCTCCTTCCTTTGTAAAGTCAACATCTCAGTCTGTGTTCTCATTACACTCAAAAGGCACCTAGAATTTTGTAAAAAAAAATCTCTAAATCAATCTCCTTTAGTTATCTCCTAACCCTCCTATCTACCCTGCAAGTGTTTACAAATAGTCAAGTGAACATAAGCATTCTAAGTGACTCTTCTGCCTAAAAACATCCAAAACCAAATCCCCATACATGTGATGCCCAAGCTCCTCAGTCGCATGGTTCCCCATCATAGAGCAGGTTATTCCTCACTCTTGCTAAGATTTCTTCCTCTACCTAAATATCCTTAACTATTTGTAAGACCTCACTTTTTCCTCACAATCTAGCTTTATAAAATACTTTCTCTGCGATCTTTTACGTTATCTTAGATGTAATCTATTCTCTTGCTGGGGCTCTTGAAGCTTTGATATACTCGTCTATTTAGCATCTAGTACATGGCCACGTTAGGAACTGGATACATTTCTTTTTTTATTATTATTTGTTTTTTGGAGATGTTTTTTGCTATAGGAGCGCGTGCGCTCACCAGAAAGACAGAGAGAGACAGAGAGACAGAAAGTGAGAAATCACCCCCCAGGGGGGATGGCCACGCCGCAATCCCTTCTCCTCCATTTTCCTTTTGGGATCTTAGGCACACACGCACATGTGCCCGGCATGAGTTTTAAGCCACCGGGCTCGGGACACAAACCATGGTCATGGTCGACTACATGGGAGTCCAGCGACATAGCCACTAGGCTAACTGCTGGTCCCAATTTCTGTCTTTTTCGTGAGGCTTTGAGTTATTGGGGACCCTTATTCAACTCATGCTAGTTTCTTTGACCTATTTTCTCCATTGTTTGCACAAGATGATTAATTAATGCTTGATGAATACATAAATGATTAATTTATCAAATTCCCACAAAAATATATTCTCTTTACATACACAATTTAATAATGGCAATTAATTTATAGGTTTAAAGTTTTACAAAGAAGTTACATCACAAAAGAAATACAAAAACAATTTTTAGGTCCTGAATTTGGTATTTAACTTGCTATTAAATAAAAAAATACTTAGTGCACCAAGTGTAAAAACACTGCATTCAGGTAAAACAGCTCAGTCTTGGCACTACAGTTAGATGACTATGAGCTTGTTAACAGAATAGGAAAGCAGTCCAGGGAATAGAACATGAGAACATAACCTATGTGATATGAATGACTTTAGAAAACAGAAAGATGAAATGAAATGATGTTTGGAAATTCAGATTCCTAGAATTTGACAGGTGACTGAAGGTAAGTGATGAGGGAAAAGAAAAAGTGAAGATTAATAAGGTTACCAAATGGGAAGGAAGGAAATATGGAGAGAAGTAGATTATTGTAACAGAAATATATGTGTGTGTGTGTGTGTGTGTGTGTGTGTACTTATATCCATCTTTCAGAGGTGACAAAAGACACTAGCATATATAACAAGTAGACTGTAGAAATAAACGACTAGGGTTCTGGGGAACAAATGCTCTGAATATTTGAATAGAAGTTATTTACTCAGAGATTAATTTCTTCAGGAAGATACTGTAGAATGAAAGGAGAACTTAAAAAGAAAAACAATGGTTATAAAAAGGTAAGTGAAGAAAAACAATGAGCAATGAGCAAGCAATGGAAGACAGGAAAGATGGGAGCAGAAAGGTTAAACTAAAAAGAGAATTAAATTATAAAAATGATGGGACAAGAGATTTCAGGAGTATTAATGGACAGTGAGTTCAAATACCACAAGAAATCAGGAAAGATGAGGTCACCGAAATATACATACTTGTATATTTAATTACAAATATATTTAGCAGAATGAACATCGAAGGTGCGCAACAGAATATAACATTCTTTGTTTAAGATGATGCATGTTAATATTCTTGGTTTGATTATTGCACACTGTATGCATGCTTGTTTTGTACCCCACAAAGATGTACATTGATATGTCAGTCAGAAAATACAGTGAAACAAAATGAGATTTGTTAAGTACAAAGTCATGATTAAGATCAATGATAGATAAAGAAATCAGAACGTAGAAGGTTAATAAGCTAATGGAAAGAGGAAATGGAGAAAACATGTGTTAGTTATTTTGTTAATTCCTCAAAAAGGAAGTGAATAAATGGAGCAGAGGCCAAAGACAAGATGCCAGGATCCAGGGAGAATTTGCTTGTTTGCTCTGGTTTTAAAGGACAGAAGAAACCTAATCATGACTGGACTGAAAGGAAAAGACACAGGGGAGAAAGGCATGAAAAAGATATATGTATTTGAGGATGGGAAATTTCTTCATTCATTCATACAGTTTTTCTTTTTAAAATATTTATTTAATTTCATTTGTTACTATTATTTTTTTAATTTGGCCAGAGAGAGACAGAGAAGAAACAAAGGAAAAGTGAGAAAGCACGCCATCAGGTCCGGGACCAGAAGCAAGGTTGGCCATGTGGGAATCCAGCACCCCTAACCACCATGCCACCTGCCAATTCCCATTCATCCATTTTCTTTTTTT